TTAATTTGTATGCTCTTCATCTTTTTCAAATTTTTAGAATTAAAGAAAAGTAAAGAGCTGTTAAACCAAAATTAAAATTAAAATTACATTGATAAGAACGAGCATTAGGCTATGATTACATCAATGTAAGAGAACTTTAATCTTAATTTGACTTACTATTTATTTTTTTCTAAAAGTAATAAATATACTAAACTAATTAAGTAAATAATCGCACTCCTTATAATTGTATATAAAAAAATTAATTTGCAAAAGGGACTAATATGAAGAACAGTCCTATGTAATATTGACATATGCATTTCCGTATGTTGAATTTCTCTGTTCTTATCGCTATCGCTGTTGCCTCCGCATTGTGTGTAGAGCTTTACAGAAATTTTGTCGGCAGCTCTAAAGCCTACTCTACAATAAAATCGTAAGCGGTAAAGTCATAAGAAATTAACCATCATAATCGATTATTCTTCTCACACTTAACTGTGATTAGTTAATTTCTTATGGCTTACGGCTTGCGACTCTGTTGTAGAACAAGCCTAATCGATGAGGTTGATCAATAGTCAATTGATTGGCTAATTTCATTGATTAATGCCCAGTTCCACAATTAATTTATATATATAATTATTATAATTATAACCGAGGTACAACTTATTCATTGTCTCTTTCCAATTTTAGAATTGAAAAAAGATGAGAAATAAGTTGAACTCGGTTAAGAGTTAATCATGAGTTGTGAAAACTGGGAAAACCCAGTTGCATCAATATCACTTTGACTTTAAGCGAGACTTAAAACTCTATCTGTCTCGCTTTAAAGCCAAAAAGAGACAGAGTTTTAAGCCTCACTTAAAATCAAAGTAACGTTGGTGCAATCGTGCCTAAGCCTAATAACGAATTCGACGGACGTATTCAGTGCGCATTGATGCACATTAAAGCCGTCGTACACAAAAAAAAACATAAAAATATATTTGTAAGTAAACGTAGAAATCGATTTAAAAGTGAAAAATACTCAATACATTTTATTGTACTTTATTTAGTAAAATATGTATTTTATAATTCGAAATATTTGCATTTCACTTTTATATTCAAATTAAATCAGTGTACAGCTGCTTTGATATGCACCAGTGTGCACTAATTTCCATTGAATTCGCCATAAGACGTACGATTACTCATTGTAGAATCAGCATTAAAATTAATAGATGCATTCAGTACTATGATCGCTGAGCGCTCAGTGAGCGATGTAATACTGAATGCATTACGTTCACCTTCTAATTCTTAAAATTAGGCTCAATTTCACAACTTACAGTTAACTCTTAATCGAGGTTCAACTTATTCATTTATCTCTTTCCAATTCTAGAATTGGAAGAGAAAAGAAATAAGTGAACCTCGGTTAAAAGTTAATCCTGAGTTATGAAATCTTAGAAAAGTATATAAAATAAACAGTAAGTTAAGCCGAGATCAAAATTACACATAATTTCAACCGAACTTTGTCTCAAACATGACACGTTTTAATCAGGCGATATACAAAAAAAAAGGATAGGAAATACGGAAAAGGTGCTGCTTATGTGGCACAGGAAGATCCAACCGTTCAATGTAAGCGGAATCGTGCACCGTTAATCTGACTCTACTGATATATAGCAATGATAACATAAAATATATTTATTTTATCAGCGTTGGCAATCTATTGATAATCTAACTTCTATAAAATTATCGAGTTTTAGAACCAAAACAATTTACGTAATTACATTTTAATTGTAAATTTAAAATACAAGACTTGCGTAATATATTTAAGAAAATCTTCCATCTGTATATTTTTTTTGGGGAGATTGCAAAATTCATCACGCGACTGCGAGCTTCTAATGTCATGTAATTCGTGGCCTCTCTCCATCGAACTCTCAAGCTCCTTCTTCGACGAGTCGTCATCCCCACCTTTATCACCTGTCGGAATGCGGTTCAAAATTTACCTTCTAATGGCCGATCGGTTGTTCGGATAAACGAAAGCCGACTTCTGTCACTAATAGCAACAACCACGTGACAAAAGTTGCGTCCAGCTGCGTCGTTTCTAGTAAATGTGCACTAATTCAACTTTTACGATTTAGAATGACGACGCGTACGAACGTCGCGTAAGCGATCCGGCGTGATCCGGTCACGATCGGCGACCGTCGGCGATATCACCGTTGTTCTTTTTTCGCTGTCATTCTTCCGAGCAAAAAACAACAGAACGGTTGATAAAAATGTGCGCGCATTAATCGACAATGACGCCGCGAGCGGCGATGTTTGGAAAGCGCGCGGTCGACGCGCGAAATTCAAATAATCTTTTTTTGTAAAAAGTGTAGAACAGCAATCGAGTTAACCTCGGTATACGCGTGCGCGAATAAATAAAAGAGGTGGAATAGGAATTCGTCTTTCAGTAATCTTTCCTTTGAGCTTTGATGAGCTCACCACGCGTGTAGAGATAGGAGATATAATTAGAATAATTATTAATAGGATTGGTAAGACCTTTCTATTGTATTATTGTTTAAGTTTATTATTACAAAACTTGATCTAAAAAATCAGATCTAAAAACTAATATTGTTCCTTGTCGTGTCTCGGAGTTTGCTATGTCTATTATTCATTCTAGAGTTCATTGATTGTTCAATTAAACATTATATTTTATCACATTAGTAGAATTTATATTTGACAATTTCTTTTATTTTGAATATAAAACTTCGATGTTAATTCATTTAAAATGTGGATTAGGTTGTTGCAAATATTTAACAAAAAACAAAAGAATTAAAATGTGTCATTTTTATTAATTATTTGCAAGCGTATGTTAGCTATTTAAATGATCGTTTTTATTTATCTTAATTTCTCATATTTTGTTTACGATGTGTTTGGGAAGCACAGTGCCAATGCTGTTGTCATTCTAACTTAATTCATTAGATGTAAAACAAGATGACATTATTTTAATATTATTAGCTTTTTGTTCAGTTGTTTTACGTATATAATAAATCATAAAAATAGAATGATGTAATAGTTTTGGCGGTATGCTTTCTAAACAAAATAACAAATAATAAATTTGTTTTCTATAATTGAACTAGTATACTTTTGAAACACACTTTTTGAAACATTTTTTAAAACATTTAAAAAATAAAATAAATATGTATTTAATATCTGACGAAAATAAGAAACAGAGTTTTAGTGCAGTCTAGTGCAGAAATAAAAAATAAAAACTTAAGCAAATATTTATAGTCCCTTATCTTATTTCAAGACCGTCTTAAGTAATGTCCTATTCGTGATTGGCTTATAAAATTTTAAGACTGAATTTAAAACGATCTTAAATACAAAAATTATGAATTGACTATTCCTTAATAGTGTCAACTTGTTTTCTGGGGGAAATTATAGAATGAGACTCGATCGATAGCACTCTTCCCCAATTTAACTCTTAAATATATTTATCGAATTCTATTGTCATGTCGGACATTTGGAGCACTTTGGCATTCTTTGTCGCTTCATCTCGGTCTTCGAGTGTTTTTTCAAACCTGGAAAAAAGTAACACAATGAATAATTTATCCTTACTTTGTGCTTATCAAACTACATCTATTTTGCCAGGTCGATGCGGCGTTACAGATTCGAGATTTCTACTCACTTATCATCGCCGAACCGATGTTGATCGGCTCGAGCTTCAAACTTTGCATTTCACGCAAGACCATTGTATGAAAGGAGAGCGCAGCGACTCGTGTAAACAATTCGAACACCCCGTTACCCGTTCTCGACGAGACCGCCCAATATTCCGCTCGCATTCTCTTCGCTGCTTCAATCGCCCGTTTTTCGATTATTTCGTATACTGGATGAGTCTACCGTTTCCCAAAAGAAAAAGCGATTAATAAAAAGACAATATATTCATAGTCAATTTTTACATTTAGATTTTTTTAAACTGTCATAAAATTACAACAACAATTTTTATGGGCTTTCTACTATAAGCTATTAGTCATAAATTAGAAAGTTAGAAACTAAAAATTGACCAATCACAGTCAATTTTTAATTTCTGACTTCTAGGAAGACTTATAAGACCAAATTATTCTCTGACTTAAGTTATAATCTTAAAAATCAATTTATATTAATCAATCACAATATAAACAACTTAAGACATTACTTAAGACAGTGTTAAATGTATAAGAATATCAGCCTACAATATTATCAATACTTACTAATAGATCTTTTTTAGTGCCGACTAGAAAAATATGATAAGGACCAATGTTGCTGCGACTTGCCTCATTCAACCATTGCTGGCAATGCATTAACGACATCAAGTTTCCCAAATCGAAAACGATCATGATTACTAAAATGAAATAACACGTAAAAATTGTAAGCTAATTGAGCTGGAATTGTGCACAGAAAGAGGAATTTTTTACCATTAGCACCGCGATAATAAGACGCCGCTATGCACTTGAACCTTTCCTGACCCGCAGTATCCCATCTGCAAATGACATTCTCAAATTACTATATTACATACTATTCACGCTTGCACGAAAAGAATAATTTTGCTTAAATATCTTAAAATTTAGCTAAAAATCGATATCTAAAAATTTATTTAGGTGCTAATATGAAAGTTTATTAAATTATCAAAATAATTGCATAGGATGCTCAAGCTGATTGCTAGAATGTCAAAATTTTTTGCAGCCTTATATGAGCCTTATTTTCTACTTATAATTATTTTGATGGTCCGATAAAATTATTTTTAGATCTGTATCTAGATAATTTTTTAAAATTTCATAAAAATCATTCTGTCAGTGCTTAAATTTATTACATTTGCAAATGGAAAGGTACGCCAAGGATGTCGAATCTCTCCACCTCGAAATCCACGCCGATAGTGGCCTTGTAATTGTTGTCGAAGAGTCTGTGGCAGAAGCTGCGCAAAGTGATCATTCGTCTTATTGTTCAAATTTTCAGGCAAAAGAAAAACCATCAAATTGACTCCGTAAGGAATAATCAATTTTTCCAAAGTTATACTAAACGATAGAGATCGAGTTTGTCGATCAATTATTACCGGTTCACCAACGATGTCTTGCCGACGGCGACATCGCCTATGACGATCACCTTAGAAATTCGGAGAGTCAAGCTCTTGTTCTCGCAAGTCCGTCTAATCAAAGTGCCGAAATCATTCTCGTTATATGGTGTGGTCTCAGATGAAAATGGTGGTGGCCAATCGGTTATCTGTCAGTGAAGATCACAGTCTATTTTTATTTATAAAAACTTGACTTTAATTTTGATTTGATTTAATTTTTATTTTCTTCTAAGGATTAAAAAAAAGTAAATTAAATCAAGATTAAAAAATTAATCTACATTATGTTTATTTTTACTCACTAAATTTTTTAAAGAATCTCACTCTAGTAGTAAGTAAAAATCGAATCAATCTTGAAAAAGAGTGACTCAATTTTCAATCTTTAAAAATAAGATTTCATTCTTCGGAGTAATAAGATTTACTCTAAAAATTGTAGAAAGTACCAATATAAATAAACTTCAATCTCAATTTAATTTATTTTTCAGTCCTTTCTAATTCTTAGAGATAGAAAAAAGTTAACCAAGATTAAAGTTAATATAGAAAAAGGCAATAGATTACTACAATGTAGATTAACTTCAACCTTGGTTTAACTTACTTTTTATCTTCTTCTAGTTATACGTATAATATTAGAAAAAGATAAAGTGTAAAAGTCGCGAGATTGAATTTAATTACATTAATATGGGCATAAAAATGGGCCAGAGAAAGATTACATTAAATCGTTTGATCATCATCGACAGTATCAAAAATAATTCCTACCTGCCTCTCATCATTGGCTTCTTCTTTCATCATTTTGTAAGTCGCGGAGCGTGTTTCCAACATCATTCTCTTCGAATCGGAACGCTTGATGAAATAATAAGAATGCGCTCTCTTTTTCCACACATGTGTCACTGTAATTTTTGCAATTGCATATTGTTGATTGCGTTTTGTTTGCACACTATTGTTTGAGACTGACTATGAACAAGAATTTACTGTTCAACATTCACTGGTTTGGAACAACGCAATTGATTTCGCATGACTAAACGGGAAACATTGGTTGCTGTGGCAGGTGTTTCATTGTGACATATGGGGGAGGCTCATACGGGCATAATTGTGAAAACTAATGTGTCTGGAATAAATTATGTAAAATATATATATATATATA